ATGTAGTAGACGAGCTTCCTGCTAGGTTAAATTGGTTTTAATTGCCAGAGATCAATCCACGATCTGCGTCCAGTCTGATTCAGAGTTACTCAAATTGGGTTTCGCTTACGCTTTTGTACTCTTTAGACTAGTTAGCTAAGTAGCACGGCAATGGTTCGACTTATTTCGAGCGTGCATTTCTGTGATTTTTTCTTCTGGATATCTATTCTGAATGTTTGTTTCGCTCAATGATTTTGTCGAGTAATATTAGTATATTAGGAAACAGTTCATCGTTCATGTTAAGTTAATTTAGAGTCAACGGTTTTTATTGATTTTATTCTTTCCTGCCTGTCATTTTTCTCCCTCATCAGGTACTGTTACGAGTGCCATGGACCTGGTCGAGTGGTATCCTGTCCAACCTGTTTTCGCGTGTTCCACTCAGACTGCTTACCAACTGCCAATGAAACCCACTGGGCCAGTCGCTTACCTGTAGAGGATCCAACCGTTGGCAGTAACTCAAAGCCAAATACGGGCTTGCCACCGAACTACCCTTGCCCCGTTTGTCAGCGTTTGGATCGGGTAGCTGACACTAAGGCTGCTTCGGTTGCTGATTTGCAAAAGATTTTTTGTTGTGCATTGGATTGGATTCGGGGCAAAGTACACTGGAGAACTATGCAGAAAGTTGGGTATCTATACGAACCACAACGAAATGAGTTTCTTGTTTACCGACAAACTAATACACGCATAATTGGCGACAAAATGCGTGCAGATCCGTCCAAAGATGGATATCCCAATCGTACCAGCCTTTTGGTGGAGCTTGATAATTTAGTCCACAATGCAGCAGTTTTATACGGTAGCAAAAATGACATGAGTAACATGGCTCGTCAAATTCGTTTGCAGCTGAGACGTGCAATGCGGGAATCGGCATTTTGCGTGGATTGCTACTTGAGGCCGGCTTCTATGTCTTCAGTAGCACGTCTTACCTCTCCATGCCGCGTCCCCCACAGATTACTATGGTTTCAACACAACGGGTGGTCGTTTCGACCGTGCAAGATGCTCTATGAAAGTAGTGAAGGCTACGAGGTGGTTTGTTTCGGCGGACGACATGAGAGGGAATTCGTACCTCGGCCTCGAGCGGTCGACATGACTTTCACAGCCTTGGAACTCGGTCTTCGCTTAACCCCGTCTCTGAAAAAAGCATTAGACGAAGCTGAAGAGTATAAAGCAAATCAGAGTGCTTATGATCGTGGTCTTTCAAAACCGATAACATTGGAAAGCAAGCCTAGGAAAAAATCGCGTGGGTCCGATAAGCCTAATTCCGCTCGACAATCCCCTTCTTCTTGTGGTGGCAGCACCGAAGTGTCCAATCGAAAACGTAAAGCCGTTCCAAAATACCACTCCTCTTTTGGATCTGTGGATTCAAGCAGTACACTTTCGGCTAATTCTTCTGCAGTGATGACCGGAACTAAGCGCCGAAAATCTTGTCGTTCACCGAGTCCGGATAACAACCCTGCCGAAGTTGGCCAGCATACCATTGGTTTAGACGCCTACGGACCCGCAATGCAAGTTAGACTCCGAGACTTATCTGCAGACAGTTCACATGAGTTCACTGATGGTAAGCGCTTTTTTCTCTCAAGTGCCTTTGTTGACCACTCATCGTACGTTCCTCGTCTACAATTCCTCTTACTCGAGATAGCTATCGTGATAGGTATCAGGTTTGTAGTAATTTGAGTATACTATTGGGACTTCAAGTTGCCATGTAAAGCATTCTTCACAAGTTTCCTTTGCGATCATAATAATGATGAGTAATTTCTGCTCCAAGTTATCGTGTAATTACATTTACACATTTCCTAAGGACTATTCGTCTCTGTGACTGTAACAAGCCCAGGTTTACCTCAAGCTATGATCAATGCCGCTTTTTATTTTTTTATTACATACTTGTGGGATGAATAGCGACGGGTTAAGCCACATAATCGTGAAGACATTGAATGATGGAAACCGGTATTCTAAGCCCCGTGACTTGGAGTGGCTAACCACATAAGGCCCCGCTAGGTCAGGCGTTGTATTAAAAAGGCCGACAGCAAAGCTGCCTACCACCGAAGCTGGGTGGCGGTGGTGGGGCTGGAACCACGGATCATAAGGTCCATATCACGCCGGTGACAGTGAATAAACGCGCCACCAGCTTCATACCTTGTTTCCATGCTTTCCTCCTACCTAGAACCGCCACTGTAAATAAGGCGCTGTTCGATAGACGGCAGCTGGGCATGCGCGATACGTGTCCTAACCGGCGAAGTATACCGATTTTACTCTAGTTGATAACCAACTTTTCTCCGAATTATTACTCAGTACGCTTAAATGCTCTCTCCATCTAACCCGCGCTAAACTACGTAAACAGTTACCGTTGAAAACTTCTAGGTGACTATTTTCCACGCTCGAA